ACTGATGCTCATAAGTTAAGCAACACTTTCTTATTTCTCGAATTTCTCAGCAACCAAAAATTTTATTGAGGCAAAATTTGTACAATAGCTAGATATTTCTCTTGTTTTTACTTTGACTTACTGGACCGTGACATTAGAGTACTATTTACTGTTGGACACGATAGAATATGCAATGGGGGTCCCACTTGCGAAAAACACAGTTTGGTCATGCCATGAGGAGCTTCCAGTTTGGCCTTATTTCATGGGTACAATTTGTTATTTTGGACCAAGCAATGGTTAGAAGAGGACTCAACGAGGTAATCAGATGGCAAATAATGGGAAGCCATCGTGCTGCGGTGCCAAAGAGACAGATTGCAAGGCAACAAAAAAGTAGCACTAAGTCAAGTGTCCAAGCTGGTAGCAAAATGGCGCCCAACTCATCATGTATTGGACAAGCCTCTTTCTGGTAGAATAATATTAACCGACGCAAGAGATGAAGATATCTGGTTCGATTATGCCACCAGGGCCAGTTCATATCAACCAAACAATGAAAAATTGCCACCGTACGTCATTCAAGGGAGGTGCCCTGGTCAACAATACAGAGACGAAAGACCATTGGGGTGCATACAATCACACACTCAAGCAAATCCAGAAAGAAAAATCATTTTGGTGCAGGACAATGCGCCCATCCAGAAAGCATGGTCCGTGCAAGACGCGCTGCAACAGCGCGGTATCCCACATTTGGATTGGCCTGCATATTTACCAATTCTAAATGTAATAGAACATGCTTAGGATATGATTGACAGGGCAGTAAATGAGAGACAACCTCCAGTTAGAAACATTAAAGAGGTCCAGCATGCAGTAAATGAAGAATGGAACCGGCTCTCAAAGCAAGATTGGCAGAATTTGGTGGCAAGTTGCAGGAGACAATGTGAAGCTGTTGTTCAAAACCAGGGAAGGCACACCCGATATTTATTGCATAATAGACGATTAATCATCTATTATCTACAGTCTTCTTTTATTAAAACTAATTCTTAGATGATCGAACTTTATTTTTTCATAATAAGCTGTTTTAATCATCACGTACTTTTTGCTGTGTGAGCATACTTTTTTGACACATGATTTGGGATATTTTAGTACCGTTTGGTTAATAAAGTTATTTTGATTATTACAATAAGCTATGTTGTGTATTTCTTTACCCGAAATATTCAAATTTAATATGTCATTTATAAAATATGAAAGAAATATGCATAACCCCACCAACAAATGAAATAATGATCATGACAGAAGAAACTTTTGAAAAAATCGGGGTGTTGCTTAACTTATGAGCATCAGTGTATATGGATATTGACTTATTGATATAACATACCAGCCGTAAGTGAGGGACATCTTTTAGAATAGGGAACACTATTTAGGCAACAGGGCACGAATGTTTCTTAATGGCGTTTGTGATTGTCGATATGGGATCAATAATTTACTAAATGTAATACTCTTTTTCCCTTATATATATATTTTTTTTTTTTTTCCCCAATGATTTACAATAAATATCCGTTACAATTCCTCTTACCCCTGCAGTCTACTCCATCGCATGGAGTTGTGTCTTCGATCGGTCCCTGACAGAATCTATCTTGGCCAACAGTTCCATCGAATAGACAGGCTCTTTGCCTGTTCTTACTCCCTTGGCCACAGGTTGACTGGGTTGAGCATTCACTCCACGGTGACCATTCGCCCCAACCTGAGAAAAAAATCTGTTTTGTGCTTGAAATTCGTTTTTAAGTTGGGAATATACGACATCGAATTAATGGAGTTCATTTCTTATTACACTAAAGTTCTTGTTTCTGTTGATCTTTACTTCATTAAGATGGTACTCAGGAAATTCTGTTTAGTCTCTTTTACTCATATACGAACGTTTTATTAGAAAAGTATGTTATATTTTCAGCGTCAATATTATCGGAGATTTTCCCGACAAATCGTATTCTCACTCCAAAAAATAGTAACGTTCTTCTACCCATTAGCTTGACCCGTCCCTGAACTTGGATTGTACGTTTTACGCCACTTTCAGTTAAATAATTTGGTTGTAAATATTTCCCCTTTACACCGCTATATTTACGTGTACACATCGGAAGGAAATATCGACATTGAGTAATTTTCCCTTGAAGGGTTCCATCGTTTTAAAGATCTCTTTATGGAATAAGTAGACGTAGAAAATGTGAAAGGTCCGACCTATTTCTTAAATCAATGTAGTTAATCAATATATTCCAAGCGTAAAACATAAAGAGTGAATTAAAATTTATATAACCATACGTGGACACTCCCGTTCATTGCAAAGTCTGTATTCAGTGTCGGCCCCATAACAGTTAGATGCGGTTCCAACGCTACACTGACGCCTGCGCAACTGACTTCCTTGCCCACACGATGCTGAACACCCCTGCCAGCTCTGCCACTGTGACCATTGCACGTCTGCAGCTAAAACATCATTTCAGGACTGAAGTCAGCTATTCCAAAGGGGGAGGGTAATTTTTCTGAAAATGTGTACTACTACTACTAACGCTTTAGCTTTGTAATTTATGTCAACATGGGTACACCGCAGGTACCTGGGAATAAATTTTAAAAAAATCTAACTATTATGTTTATTTGCCAAAGCTAGAGCGCATTCACAACCAAAGACTAACAGAACTGGCCTACCCACTTGAATGCTTGTCACGTAATCCCCGCTGGAAATGTATTCACTGTCTATTAGGGGTTTGCGCGGCAACCTTTCAAGTGGGTCGGCCATATTTGATCCGCGGATCTGTTAGTCCGCGGATCAACTTGTTCTGAATGCGGCCAAATTTTGATTCAGAGGGGACCATTTCTAGTCAAACGGGCGGTTCTATGGAACCTCCAGAACCCTCTCTGCTCACTTTTTGGCTACATATATTATTATTATTATGTATTGTAACCGGATCTTCATATGACATGCACTACACGTAGAAAAGAAAGGCATTAATCATTACATGAAACAGAATAAACAAGTGTCACATCAAGATTTCATTGTTTTTATTTAAAAAATGAATTCAGGATGTAGCAGTAGGGAAGTGAAATGTCAGTTCCAAACAAGAGTTAGAATGTTGGGGGAAATACCATAAATAATACTTCGTTTACCTTCTAGCTCGCAGTTGTTTCCCCGCCAGGTGTCCTTGCAGAGGCAGAGGTAGCTGGGGTCTCCTTGCTCCGTCCTAGTATCCAGACAGTAACCTTCATGCTGGCAGGGGTTTGTGGCACACAGTCCTACGGGTATCTTAATTATATTTTATGGAAAATGAAAATAAATGTATTAATCAAAAAGCTGTAATCTGTGTTAATAAAGATGTGGCCCCCTCGCAATGCACATACAATAGATCAGACACTTTGGAACATGAAAGTAAGTTCGATTTATTCCAAGTTTCGGGTTAAGGAATGTTCCTATAAATTTCAATTAATTACAAAAGAAAAAAACTGTACAGCAAGATATGTTTGAGAAAAACAATAATTCGTGTTTTAAGGTGGCAACTGATACAGTGTCTACTGTACCTTAAACTTGTTCCGATTCTTAGTGTGAATAACTGATGTTTATTTTCCGAACGGTGGTTTCTTTAGGGGAACGGTTTTGTAACCAGCTGCTTGGCCAGTTCATTTCATTAAGGGGAATCTAAGTCAGTAATTTATGCAATAGTCTTAAAAACATAAATGAAAGCATAAGGTTATATGAAGACAAGAAACCGGTTATATCACTATTGTAACACATACTATGCACAATATTTAAAGAGACAGTCGAGGGTATAGCGGTGTGATAAAAGACAACATTTTTTTCTGTTGCCATCGTCAATTTTTGGTGCTTTTCGCCCTTCACTACGTCAAGTGATAGAGTTCGTTCCAAAGTGGACAGAAATGTGTATCAAATGTAGTCGCTTTGACTACTTTTACAGCATTTACCACGGATAAGTGAATGATAACATGCATTCTCTCCATTTCCACTTTGTGTGGGAGAAATTTTATGCAGGTTTAGTTATTTCACCTATTTCAGTGATTCATGGGGAAGCCTTGATGTGAAAACACCAGGTTTAACAAAGCCAAAAACTTGTTATATCAATATTTTATGACACAAACTATGCACAACATATATATATATAGGCAATTTTTGGTTTGATGAAAGAAAACTAGTTTTCCTGGCACCATCGACAGTTAACCGTCTTTCGCTCTATCGAGTTCCAAACTGAAAAAAAAATGTGTGCTAAGTACCGTGTGCAAGGTTACTTTTACATTTAACTGCATTTTTAATAGTCAATTCAAGTAAATAGTGCATTTTGTGAAGAACATTCTAGGTCTTTTTAAAAAATCACTGTTTATAATTGACCAAGTCGTGTCTGAACATTTGGAGGTTAGACTTCTAGGCCAATTCACTTGTTGAAGTTTTATCCGTTAGATAACATAAGAATGCTTTCCTTTTTTTTCCACGCGGTTGTGGTGTTTCTTGCTCGACCGAAAGGTGTTGGCACAATTGCACTTACATATATATATATTTAAACCACGGCTAGCACGTAGAACAAAAGACTCAGCCGTGCTGTATTTGACATACAAGCACGTCATGTACGAGTGCGTTCCACGGTCTGTTGCACTACTAGTGTTGTAGCCAATCATAGGCCGTGGTTTAAGCCAGATACAACACTCGTCGCCGAGCTGTACGTGAAAATTACTCGTGTATTGTCTCGCCTGCGGCTCGCCAATACACTCGTAATATTTCACGTACAGCTCGGCGACTCGTATTGTATCTATCACATCTTTCAATTTAGATCCATCTTGTATATATGCTCAGAACAGAACGGTACATGACAGGGCGCGCCCTAATTATTTATAGTGTACTTTTTTATCACAGATTAAGATAAATCACGGTGAAAAGTCACTTTAGTTAAATTGTCTTGATTAAATTTTCTAAGAAAATGATTGCACAGTCACGGAAACGGCCGATTCATTGATTTATGGTTGGTAAAAATGTTTTAATTAAGAAGTCCCAGTCGATTGATTTGATGACAATGTTACCTTTTAGAAATGTCAGCCTTGGGAAATTGATTGTTTTGTTTAACAGTTTGACATCAAGTTTTGCCTAACAAATGAACTAAATTGCAATTCGGCAAGTGAGAGGCGATAATGCGTTTGTGATAGTTTTTAACAATTGTATTTTACAACTGTGTAGGTTTCCCAGCAATAAACGACAGATATGGTTGTCTGTGGAGGTGGCATATCGTAAAAATATCAATAATCTCGGAATATTTCTTTAATTTTAATTCATAAGTACGTTTGTTCATTTTCCATTCTCATTTTACGAGATTCGTTGCTTTCTTTCTTACATGGTTATGGTTTATCTTTAATTAAAGGCAACGGAACTCCGTAACTTCGCTTGCCTTCATCTTTAATTATTACATACATGCCAAGCAATCTGTCAAGCGCAAATGCCTAAAGTGCTTTGGTATGGTATGAATCCAATACCCGATCAACCATTACACTACATTTCTTCCGTCATTACAAAGGTTAGAAAAGAATACAGGAGCTTAATCAGTGAAAGATTAAGGTATAAGTAAAAAAAAAATGTGCAAGAATTGGGGTATGTTGTTAGTTCAAAGCACGGTAAAAATGGTCAACTGATCAATGAGGCGTGTGGTGGAGGGGTTTACGTGTGTCAATAAAATAAATAAATATAATTAAAACAAACAAACAAACAAAAAATTAAAGGTTGTCACCACGTGCTGTTGGGTAGTTCATATTAACCAGGGCCCAGTTTTATAAACTCTATCCTCTGGTTAACACTATCAATCAGATGGCATTGTTGTCATCTGGGCACTTGTTTTCTAAACACAATATCCAGGCCTTCCCAACTACCAGACTCGGCACCTACGGGTCCAAAATAAACCGGTATATCTGACCACACTACCCGTTTTCAAGGTGTGTGTCAGATCGCATAAAAGAGTATCATACCCTATCACAAATTCTGTAAGCCTACCTGTCATCCGGGTATCGCGCCTCGTTTTCGTCAAGTAGGAGTCGTATGAATACAACAGACGACTCCCTCAATCAGGGGGTGGAAACGCGCGTNTCCCCCAATGATTTACAATAAATATCCGTTACAATTCCTCTTACCCCTGCAGTCTACTCCATCGCATGGAGTTGTGTCTTCGATCGGTCCCTGACAGAATCTATCTTGGCCAACAGTTCCATCGAATAGACAGGCTCTTTGCCTGTTCTTACTCCCTTGGCCACAGGTTGACTGGGTTGAGCATTCACTCCACGGTGACCATTCACCCCAACCTGAATGGGGAATATATAACATCGAATTAATGGAGTTTTCTTGAATGAATTCATTTCTTTCTACACTTAAAATATAGTTCTCGGTTCATTACTTCATTAAGATGGTACTCGGGAAATTCTGTATAGTCTCTTTTACTCATATACGAATGTTTTATTAGAAAATTGTTATATTTTCAGCGTCAATATAATCGGAGATTTTCCCGACAAATCGTATTCTCACTCCAAAAAATAGTAACGTTCTTCTACCCATTAGCTTGACCCGTCCCTGAACTTGGATTGTACGTTTTACGCCACTTTCAGTTAAATCATTTGGTTGTAAATATTTCCCCTTTACACCGCTATATTTACGTATACACATCGGAAGGAAATATCGACATTGAGTAATTTTCCCTTGAAGGGTTCTATCGTTTTAAAGATCTCTTTATGGAAAAAGTAGACGTAGAAAATGTGAAAGGTCCGACCTTTTTCTTAAATCAATGTAGTTAATCAATATATTCCAAGCGTAAAACATAAAGAGTGAATTAAAATTTATATAACCATACGTGGACACTCCCGTTCATTGCAAAGTCTGTATTCAGTGTCGGCCCCATAACAGTTAGATGCGGTTCCAACGCTACACTGACGCCTGCGCAACTGACTTCCTTGCCCACACGATGCTGAACACCCCTGCCAGCTCTGCCACTGTGACCATTGCACGTCTGCAGCTAAAACATCATACCAGGACTGAAGTCAGCGATTCCAAAGGGGGGGGGGGGGGGTACTTTTTCTGAAAATGTGTACTGCTACTACTAACGCTTCAGCTTTCTAATTTATGTCAGCATAGGTACACCGGAGGTACCTGGGAATAAATTTTAAAGAATCTAACTATTATGTTTATTTGCCAAGCGCATTCACAACCAAAGACTAACAGAACTGGCCTACCCACTTGAATGCTTGTCGCGTAATCCCCGCTGGAAATGTATTCACTGTCTATTAGGGGTTTGCGCGGTAACCTTTCAAGTGGGTCGGCCTTATTTGATCCGCTGATCTGTTAGTCTGCGGATCAACTTGTTCTGAGTGCGGCCAAATTTTGATTCAGAGGGGACCATTTCTAGTCAAACGGGCGGTTCTATGGAACCTCCAGAACCCTCTCTGCTCACTTTTTGGCTACATATATTATTATGTATTGTAACCGGATCTTCATATGACATGCACTACACGTAGAAAAGAAAGGCATTAATCATTACATGAAACAGAATAAACAAGTGTCACATCAAGATTTCATTGTTTTTATTTAAAGTAAAGAAGTAGCAGTAGGGAAGTGAAATGTCAGTTCCAAACAAGAGTTAGAATGTTGGGGGAAATACCATAAATAATACTTCGTTTACCTTCTAGCTCGCAGTTGTTTCCCCGCCAGGTGTCCTTGCAGAGGCAGAGGTAACTGGGGTCTCCTTGCTCCGTCCTAGTATCCAGACAGTAACCTTCATGCTGGCAGGGGTTTGTGGCACACAGTCCTACGGGTATCTTAATTATATTTTATGGAAAATGAAAATAAATGTATTAATCAAAAAGCTGTAATCTGTGTTAATAAAGATGTGCCCCCCTCGCAATGCACATACAATAGATTCAGACACTTTGGAACATGAAAGTAAGTTCGATTTATTCCAAGTTTCGGGTTAAGGAATGTTCCTATAAATTTCAATTAATTACAAAAGAAAAAACCTGTACAGCAAGATTTGTTTGAGAAAAACAATAATTCGTGTTTTAAGTTGGCAACTGATACAGTGTCTACTGTACTTTAAACTTGCTCCGATTCTTAGTGTGAATAAATGATGTTTATTTTCCTAACGGTGGTTTCTTTAGGGGAACAGTTTCGTAACCAGCTGCTTGGCCAGTTCATTTCATTAAGGAGAATCTTAGTCAGTAATTTATGCAATAGTCTTAAAAACATAAATGAAAGCATAAGGTTATATGAAGACAAGAAACCGGTTATATCACTATTGTAACACATACTATGCACAATATTTAAAGAGACAGTCGAGGGTATAGAGGTGTGATAAAAGACAACATTTTTTTCTGTTGCCATCGTCAATTTTTGGTGCTTTTCGCCCTTCACTACGTCAAGTGATAGAGTTCGTTCCAAAGTGGACAGAAGTGTGTATCAAATGTAGTCGCTTTGACAACTTTTACAGCATTTACCACGGATAAGTGAATGATAACATGCATTCCCTCCATTTCCACTTTGTGTGGGAGAAATTTTATGCAGGTTTAGTTATTTCACCCATTTCAGTGATTCATGGGGAAGCCTTGATGTAAAAACATCAGGTTTAATAAAGCCAAAAACTTGTTATATCAATATTTTATGACACAAACTATGCACAACATATATATAGGCAATTTTTGGTTTGATGAAAGAAAACTAGTTTTCCTGGCACCATCGACAGTTAACCGTCTTTCGCTCTATCGAGTTCCAAACTGAAAAAAAATGTGTGTTAAGTACCGTGTGCAAGGTTACTTTTACATTTAACTGCATTTTTAATAGTCAATTCAAGTAAATAGTGCATTTTGTGAAGAACATTCTAGGTCTTTTTAAAAAATCACTGTTTATAATTGACCAAGTCGTGTCTGAACATTTGGAGGTTAGACTTCTAGGCCAATTCACTTGTTGAAGTTTTATCCGTTAGATAACATAAGAATGCTTTCCTTTTTTTCCACGCGGTTGTGGTGTTTCTTGCTCGACCGAAAGGTGTTGGCACAATTGCACTTACATATATATATATATATATATATCTTTCAATTTAGATCCATCTTGTATATATGCTCAGAACAGAACGGTACATGACAGGGCGCGCCCTAATTATTTATAGTGTACTTTTTTATCACAGATTAAGATAAATCACGGTGAAAAGTCACTTTAGTTAAATTGTCTTGATTAAATTTTCTAAGAAAATGATTGCACAGTCACGGAAACGGCCGATTCATTGATTTATGGTTGGTAAAAATGTTTTAATTAAGAAGTCCCAGTCGATTGATTTGATGACAATGTTACCTTTTAGAAATGTCAGCCTTGGGAAATTGATTGTTTTGTTTAACAGTTTGACATCAAGTTTTGCCTAACAAATGAACTAAATTGCAATTCGGCAAGTGAGAGGCGATAATGCGTTTGTGATAGTTTTTAACAATTGTATTTTACAACTGTGTAGGTTTCCCAGCAATAAACGACAGATATGGTTGTCTGTGGAGGTGGCATATCGTAAAAATATCAATAATCTCGGAATATTTCTTTAATTTAATTCATAAGTACGTTTGTTCATTTTCCATTCTCATTTTACGAGATTCGTTGCTTTCTTTCTTACATGGTTATGGTTTATCTTTAATTAAAGGCAATGGAACTCCGTAACTTCGCTTGCCTTCATCTTTAATTATTACATACATGCCAAGCAATCTGTCAAGCGCAAATGCCTAAAGTGCTTTGGTATGGTATGAATCCAATACCCGATCAACCATTACACTACATTTCTTCCGTCATTACAAAGGTTAGAAAAGAATACAGGAGCTTAATCAGTGAAAGATTAAGGTATAAGTAAAAAAAAATGTGCAAGAATTGGGGTATGTTGTTAGTTCAAAGCACGGTAAAAATGGTCAACTGATCAATGAGGCGTGTGGTGGAGGGGTTTACGTGTGTCAATAAAATAAATAAATATAATTAAAACAAACAAACAAACAAAAAATTAAAGGTTGTCACCACGTGCTGTTGGGTAGTTCATATTAACCAGGGCCCAGTTTTATAAACTCTATCCTCTGGTTAACACTATCAATCAGATGGCATTGTTGTCATCTGGGCACTTGTTTTCTAAACACAATATCCTTATTTTTGTCTCTGATATTTTACTATCTAGTGGTAAAAATAGCTGATATCATCAGGATAACTGTCCAGAGGATAATTTTATGCAGTGGATAGTGTTGTCCATAGGATATCGCTAACCAGTGTTGATGAAACTTGGCCCATATCAGAATAAAACGATTCAGGGTTGGGGGCCCTCGAGGACGTGTGTTTTGACAGCGCGACTTGCTGCACAACACAAGGTGGACAAATAACAGCTAGGTATTTATTTTTCTTGCCTTTTAAATATTTTATTATTGACGGTGTTCTTATATCTTATAGGATGCAAAAAAAAAATGACTATAAAAACGACAGAAACCCGGTTTACGTGTCTCGCCTAGTATCGTCGACCGAAAAAAGTGGGTTAATAGCACAGCATGCCTTTCCTCTGGATAGCAAAATGTATTAATTATTTACAATAGCCCCTAGGCTAAGCCACCTTTAAGACGATTTTGTCGACAGATAATGATATAATGATTCCAAGAGTTTTAATTTATTTATCATTCAGCGCGGAGAAATGAATGGCACTGTCATCCAGGTTTTGCTATCGGCTAAAAAGGCTGAGTAAAAAGGTCCAGGGCATCAGAAAAAAAGTTTCGTGTTCACAGAAAAATACTCCCGCGCCCTATCGCGCTTTGCCTGCATGAAAGTGTTAAGCGGCATGTTTTTAATGTATAAAGGATGAGGAGGAAGAGGAGTTATTGCGATAGCACTTATGACCACAGCAACCTGTCCATAATCACATTTACACTCGTACTTCTAATGTTCTTTAACTTTTTTATGACTGAAATACCGAACCCATTCTATCAATTGCTATAAATACTCAGGGAATTTTTCTCATCGGTAATTTTAAGTAATCGGAGAGGGGGGGGGGAGCAAAGTGCATATTCATGTCAAATTGATCAATTAACGAAACAGTTATGAATTACCTGAAAGGACTCATTACGAACGCTGTAGAAGGAAATTCCATCCGCTTCCAAGAGGTTCACATCTTCATTCTTCGTTGACAAAGAATTGAGTTCGCATGTACGATTTTGGGGGCAAAAATTATACGAGTCACATCCTTTTGATACGATGCATTGCAGCGCACATTGGGTCCTTAAATACACACCGTTAATCTGCTTCGTGGTATTTGTTCTCAAGAAATGGTTTTCTTTTACTTCATCCTCTTCTGGTTGTGGCCATTGAAATATAATCCCGTCTGTGAACCTCGTGCTGATCAAAATGAGGAAAAATAAAAGCATCACCATGTCACTTTTCTCAAACACAGTCCCAAATGAAACCTCCTAAATATAGACGCTGTTATACCGTTGTTCTATCATTTCCAGTTGAAAGGGCAATTGCGTTCCCTTCATCCTTTTTATAGAAATTAAAGACACGCCTCATTTATCATGCACGGTGCATGTTGTTCCAGTTTTTTTTCCTTTTTAGATTAAAACGTATTTTATTGATCAGTTTGGGCAGCATCCCATGGGTATACGACTTGCGCTTCTATTTTCATGTTACACGCAAGAAAATGTTCTCTTAACTGCTTTTTCAAATCCCCCTGTATGTAACGTTCATCATGACCATGTGAACATGTAAATATGATGGGGCAGCAGGTTAATAAAATCAGCAACGTCCCCTAAGACACCTTACTTATCTTAGAATCCTAGGGTACAAAGTGCCAAATAATACCCTCGAGATTTCTTGCGAAGTGGCGGATCACTTTAACCCCCCTCTCCGCAATGATTAGAGAATTTAGAAAATTGAAGGACACGCACGCGAACAGGTAGACCCCATTTGCAACCAACACAAAGTCTGTACAGGCATGGTGGCGTTTTTCCTTTGCAGACTTCTGGAATCAACCAGAATATTGCATAACAAAAAAAATTGAACGATAATTACTTTTTTTTTTACTTTTGAGAATGTTAATTCACCAAAAGCATTTTAACCGAGTGCAGCTGAAATAGAGATAATTGACTCTCTATTCGCTAATTGACAAAACGCGTGTCTCAGGTGCCTTGTCGTAGGCCTATATATGACCTTCGCATAACGTCTGTAACTGGGACCCGTCAATGCGTGTGTCGACTATATTTTATTATTTTTTTTTTATAAGCTAATTTTCAAGATACAGGGGCGGATCATGGATATCAAGAAAAGTAGGTTAAGGTGGGAGCCTTGTCAATTATTGTTTCATTTTTTTTTTTACGCAATCAGATGCCACGTAAAGTAAAGGGACATTAGGTTCGGTGAGTTTAATAAGTAATAGCACTCAGAGATAAATACAAATGGCAAAAAGAAATCTCAAAGGTAACACTGTAAATGGATGCAATATCCTCAAACAAAGACATGATGTGATGAGAGATTGTTTATTCTTTTGAAGAGATTGTTTATTCTTTTGAAGCATCAAATCAAAAGTTCTGTTATTTTGAATACAGGAGTTTTGACGCTTGATTATTTACCATCGCCTGCTTATGGTTATTGGTATGGTCACTTGCTTTGCACTTAAGCAAATTACTTAAAAACTGTTCAGACATTCCTTACACATTCTATCATTCATATAAATTTATTCCATAGTTTGGATGTAGGCCTAATGTAGATGTTTGAAAAAGTTTTACACACTGGATTCATTAAGGCCAATCGAGTAACCTCAACACCCGGGACAAAAGTAAAATGAAAATATAAGATATTATAAACACAGCACAATGCACAGGTGAAAATTGTAAAATATATAAGTAAAATATAAAACCTCGAGAGAGAAGTGCATGGCAAACTTTGGCACATGTTCGTAGAATAACAATACATAATCGTAGGACGACAACGATGACGAGGCGTCTGAGTTCATACACCACGAAATACAGCAGTATATTTAGCGCGACGCGAAGGGGGACCATTTCTCCATTCAGTTATACTGCACTTTTTAGGTTAAGAACGTTAAACTTAAAAAGTTTGATTAAAGTTTCACTCCTCCTTTTTCTTCTCGGTTTTCTTGAAATGATTCGTTAAGACGACTGCTAAAACGGTGCCCATCAGAGGCCCAAGCCAATAGACAATAATGTGCTCCAGCTTCGTATTCCCCGGACACCCGAATCCCTGCGCGGATGCATTTGCCGGATTGAAGTAACCGCCGGTGAAATGAAGACCTGAAAGTGAGAGTAAATGGTTTTTATGTCGTGTTTTATTTTCCACATTTATATTGTGTGTATTTTATATCTCATATTGCACAATCGTATCGTATTATGGTGGTTATTTAGGTAATAAATGGGATGTGTGCAGAATCATTTCGGACTAATTCATTCCTTGTTCCACAAGAACACTCTTTTGCTTTAGACAAAGTAAAACTTGCTATGAAATATGTTTATGATTTATATATGATGACTAACTCACGCAGCAGATTAATTCTGAAGTAGTGCCAAATAAGTACAATATCTAATGTACACTTTTCAACTAAACGTGAAAATATTTTATATAAACCGCTATCAAAGAGACGGGCTGGTATCAAAAAGAAAAAGAGCCAACTTACAAATCATGACCAGCAACACGTTCAGCGTCACCTTTATGGGATCCTCTAGTTTCCCAAGGAAGGGGAGGGCGTTGAGAGCCAGCCAGATACTGGCAATCGCGCAGGCCATTTCAATCACAGTCCCTAGTGGGATGTCCACAGTCAGATCCGAAGCACAGGCGAATTTGGACCAACGGTCAGCGTGTGTTGGGCATAACTGAAAGCTCCACAATCCCATAGAAAACCAATAACTGACCGGTCCGGCAAGCATCTGCAACGCCATTGCCACAAGGGTGGACCCCAAACCTTGTTCCTTGTTAACGAAAAGGGCGAATTTGCCGCAGGGATTACATTCACCCTCAGACTGAGTCCACCAGTCGAAAAGTTCTGCTGCCAAGAGGGCTAGACCAAAAGCGACGTCTCCATAGAAACTGAGCAAAACACAGGCCTCCCAGGTGTAAACGCATTCCTGAAAAGACGCTATGAAATCGATGGCGTGTTCCTGAGCGGATTGCGGTAGTGCTGCACGCACGATTCTCTTAGATGTTCTTGTGACGATAATAGTGACGATGAATGAGATCAGACAGGTAGTGAAGTTGTGCAGGTCTTCGTGGTCATGAAGGTAATCCCACATCAGTTCCACGTAATCCTTTGAAATGAAAAGAAATTAGAGTTATTTTTAATGGTCGTCATAGAAGAAAGTAAAAAAAGTGCAAATATTACTGCAATCAGGACAGTTTTTTTTTTTTTTACGAAATGAAGTTTGTTTTTACCATTAAAAAGGTCTGTGGAATTTGTGAAAATTGGGCACAATCCCGTTAAGATGAGATTATAATTTTTTATCTATACAATGCTGTAGCAAGTGCCAAATTTAGTAATCAAACAGGCCAGGAGACAATGAATACGATAATGACTTGCTGAACACGTGTGACAAGGCAATGGGATTAATGCCTACCAAGAAATTGTACTACTTCTTTGCCTACTACAACATTTATGTCGTTTAGCCTTTCCTACCCACAGCTTATATAAGACGTCACGAAATAGTCACCCTCAAAATTTGGGCATGACTATGAACAATATTGAATAAATGTTGTTATAGTGTAAAAAAAGAATTAATGATTATACGGAACATATTTCGGAGTCAATAGGTGTTGCATATCTTATCTATTGCATATCTGCATATAAATATTGCATATCTTATCTATAACGAAGAACGTTTGGAATTTTTAGAGGAAAGAAATTGGAAAGCTTCTCCAACCAGGCTAATAATGATGGTTTGAAAAAAAACTTCACGGGTGGCAGGAGCTGGTGTTATTCGGATCACGTTTGTGCATCCCACTTCGTATAAATACGTAACCCATATAACAGGGAGAGAAACACCTCATGCTATGAGAGAATAATACGCTACATTAGTCTTTGAGTATATTGTACTCTTAGCCTATATGTGTCAGACGTCACCACCATGGTTTAAAACCGCAGCTTCTTAAATAAGATTTAGGCGCTTGATTTTTGTATGGCAAGCATATACCACATGAAATATGCCTAAAATGAACGCACCGAGCTTTGATGATCAAATTCTCAAGGTGTTTATCCAAAGAACACTGCTGCCAAAAATAATCAGCAACTGAGCGCCAAGGTAGTCTTTTAAAAACTAACCTGGAGGTGCTGATAGTGCTGCGCGATACTGATATATTAGCAGACTTCACCATGTGTATAAATAACGTATCTGGTCATTTCAGCTGTCGGATTTCGGAGAGGGAGACGGAAATAAACGCGGAATTTTTGCCACAAGGTTGCTGAGACGGGGTCCGTGCTGTCTTGTGGAATGTTTGGAGGAAGTCTCCAGTTGTCTAAACACAAATAACAAGCAATAGTGGCCTATCTGTGATGAGAATTTTGAGTTCGAAGGCATATGTACGCAGTTTGTTTCTTTTTCAAGAATGGGGATAATATATTGAATTTAGTACAAATATACAAATATATGAGTTTAGTACAAATGTACAAATGTGTAACGCACTATAGCTACCAGGAGGAATCACTTTGTCAAATACTGATTTTTTTCATAAAAATTGCAAAAAAAGGGTGCAAATTGAAGTGTCAAAAGATGGCCTTGATATGAGTGTAACCGGAGAAAACAAGGAGAAGTATAGTCTTTATATATAACACCTTGATCACATAGTCATTATCTTTGTAAATATAGATAGCATATTATTCTCATCGAAGTCGTTCACTGATATGTTCATCGGCACTGATATCGGATTAGAAGCCTTCGAGTAAGTTTGGGTCAGGGAGATGCGTTCGATTTACTTAATGACGCGCGAGATGTTTAGTGCAGTGTATTGGTCAATAAGGAGTCTTTTAACACTGCAAGCTTCAATTATCATTGGGGAGAGGGGGGCCAGCTCCTGATGCTGTCTGTGTTAGTGATCTGATGCAGTTTGTAGATCGTTACCTACTTTTCCAGTGCTCTTCTTATTATAGTAACAGGCAGCGCTGTATTTCTTTAACAGATCTACGCGTTAAACGTTAATACAGACGTCGAAATAGGGAGGTTGACTGATGTCAGCTCATCGATAATGACATCGGTTCGTTTATATTGTGTATCTTATCTATACAAGGACCTACCCCTGTCCCAGACTCGAGATCACTGGCATTTTTCGTCACTGGCTTCTGTTTCGTCGCCATTGCTTGGCCGCCGCTTCTCCCCTTCCCTGGATCTAAGCTGTTATCTATTTGCTATTCCCAACAAACACACGCACATGAAAATAGCTCTATACCTGTACAAATGATAGTAGACGCAGTACCGAGATACCTGCTAGATTTCACTGGCACGAGTTTACCTGTACATTTAGTAGTAATACAGTAAGGATGTGAGGAATCCGTATAAAATCCAACGTCTATTAAAGCCTCATTCTGTAACCACACCGCATAATGCAATCAAAGAAAAAATTGGCTGTGCATTTTGAAACCACGGCGCACTTTACAAACACTCTCTCTTACTTACTGGAAAGGTTTGAAGAACTGGAAAGAAATCACGGTACATTGGAAAAGCATATATCTAAAACATTCGTCCCCAAGACTGTGGAGGCTGAGGAGGAAAGAACATGGTGTTACCCTGACACTGACCGCCGTAGTGGTTTCACTGAATATTCTACAAAAGTGGTTGGAACTATCTTTATCTAATTTTTATTGTTTTATGATGGGGTTTCATCGCTGTAATTTCAATTTAGCTCATGGATAAAGGGTGTTTATATCTACGGTAGAGGAGACCGGGGCTAGGTGGCCCAGTTAGACACTTTTGGCCTTGTAGAGCCAACTAGGAATGGGTTAGAGTAACAAAACCGGTTTCAAAGTAAGCCCCATTAACTAAGTTACGTATGCAACGTCGTTATTTTTCAAAGATAATACCAGATGGCTCACAATTTGACAAAAAACGCAGTTGGCGTCAAGGGGGCCAACTTGCCCCGCCACAGTGATCTCGACTCTGTGACAGGGGTAGGTCCTTGTATAGATAAGATACACAATATAAACGAACAGCCGTCATTATCGCAAGTTGGCCCCAGGGTCGGGGCAAGTTGGCCCCCCTATAATAAAAATGAAGTATGTATCCCATCTAAACGCCTTGAAATACATTTTTATACATTATTTATTTATTAAATTGATTTTTGAGAGTCTTTGATGAATAAATAGTTCAAATGTGGCAGATTTATTGAGGTTTCCGTACGTCACGTTGTAGGGGGGGGGGGTATGTGTTGCAAGAACCAAAAGATCAATAAAATTTGTTTTGAATTGATTAAGAATAAATTAATAATGGTATAAAGCCGGCTTTTAATGAATGAAAACGAATAATAAATTGTCGTTTAAAAGAAAGTAACAAATTCAGTTTTAAACCATTGAGTTTGTTTCAACAATGGTCTCTAGCTAGGGAGAGGTGGAAAATCTCCTTTGGACCACATATAACACGTATAAATACAAAGGAATCGCCTTACAATGAATTAAGGCAAAATAAATGTTTTTCTAAGGAAAGTCCAATGGATTTGCTTTTCAATACATACGATCAAAAGAACATTTCTAATATAAATTTTCGAAAAGACACAATAGAGCAAAATTATATAAAATCAATCAGACGGTAAACACCGGCAAGCTTTGTCAATTTCACCAACTTGTTTATTTCAAACAGCGTTGCGCGCAAAGGATTGTGGGTAAAAAATATGAGGGTCCAACTTGCCCCGAGTCAAGGGGGCCAACTAGCCCCGGTGCACATTATTTATTTTAAAGGATGGCAGCAATTTATGGTGCTAGAATGAGAAACGATGATACATCTCTGTGAAACTTGAAACAATGAGCTTCAGTTTGATGCCCTATACATATTTTATATTCGATCAAAAGCCTATGAAAATAGATTTTTCAATCTCTTAAACAAAATTACTTTTAGGTGCAAAAATCGTTTATTTGGACTCACCGCTTAATTAAAACTTTTTAACGTCCGACACTTCTTTAGCATTGTAGGCTACGGTCACTTTACAAGAGTAGGTGGCCAATTTTTTTACCTCGTAGTTACTTTTTCATAAATTGACGGGGGGCCACCTTACCCCGGGGTCCAACTAGCCCCGGTCTCCCCTACAATGTGTTCTAGCAGAATTATTTTTTTCTGCCATTTTGTAAACTAATCAATTCGATTTATTTGATTTAATTTAGATCTATATACGCGTTTTTATGAAGGAAAGGTTTGCATATTATTTCTTACACATGAAACGAATGATATCATTTTATTATTCCTTTTTTAAATTGCACTATAAAACTCAAATTGGACTTCATTTACAAGACCGTGGAGGAACGGGTCACGTTGAAGTCCACTTGTTTTTGAAAAAAAATTATCAAAATCATTATATAAAAAAACTGAATGAGATCATAAACTAATAAATAGAGATGTAATTAAACTGGAGGAAATGTGGCAGGCGGTAGGAATAGATGTATTTCTTGGTATGCCACAGCACCCACAGTAACCACAGACCGTTATCATGCTTTCTAATGCATAACAAATTTTGGAAATATAATTTTATTACTTATAATAATAATAATAATCTTTATTGGAGAATGGCAACCCGAAGGTTGAAGTTATACAATTACATATATATATATATTACTTGTAATGGACCCAACATAAAACTATCACAAATATGGACAAGTTTACTCTGTGCACTGTATAAGAATAAGAGAGTTTTTATTTGAACATTTTGCACAGTAGATGAAAGACTAAGTAAAAGCTGAGCTTGTTTTTGTTTTATTTTTGTCGCATAAAGTTTCTACATTCAAATGTGTTATTTGTCATTGTAACTAAGACGTCTTTAATTAAGCATTTTAAATTATTGTAACTTTATGAAGGCTATGGGGAATAATAGGTTGTATACATCCACCTTCTGTACATCAAGTTTGATCGCTATTACAACAACTGGAGTCCAGTTCATTTTTTATTATTATTTCTTTTTGTTGCAGCCTGCAATAGGCGTGTCCTTACTGACGTAGAAGTCTTTCGTATAAAACACACCTGACGTCAAAGTTACCGGTTTATGATCCATGTCCATATGCATATCAAGACTTGCTACACACGGACCCTCCCCTCAACCACAATAGAAAACCAAATACCTGCGCCCGTAATGAGAGCATAACAAAAATTGTCGGTATAAAAGGGGCGTCGGCTTAAAATTGTCTTATTTTTAGTTTGTATGACAGGAGCCTATCGAAGCGCACCGTTAAAGTGCCTAGCAATCAGTATCAAGTTACTTCTCGTCCATAAATGTTTTCTTTCTTGATATAATTTGACACGTATTCATGTACTTCAGCAGCAATTACATCCCATTAGCTATATAACTTGACACTTAACAAGAAAAAAAATTGGATCGCAAAACATTGGATGTATCCTAGGCTAGTCATTCTGATTCATTTAACCACGCCGTTGGCAACTGTTGATCTTATTTCAACTACTTTTGAAGAAAATGGTATGTTGGTAAACATATTCACACATGCACAGTCAAACTTTATCGATCTTGAAATGGGTTTTCACATCAAGCGTTATAACTAAGCGATACAGCTGTACTTATATGTTTGAGAGGTTCTATCTTGTAATAACACTTTGAGAAACTACTCCCTTTGACAAGCTCTCTCAAGTTCGATTCCTACCGTTAGTTAATTAACTGATCGCGTCAAGCAAGGGAGGGGGGGCTTCGCTAATGTGTCTCTCTCTTACCCTTTAATATTAGAGGCTTCTAAAATAGTTTATAAAATTGAATAATTTTCTCTTTATTTTTAATACCAGTACGTACTATTTAATCTAAAATAAACCTTTTAACTTTGTATTTTGTTTGGAAACTATACAGACCATTTTTTAAAATGAATTTTAAGTTATAAATAAACGTATTATTATCATTCAGTATTATTATAAGAAAGCATTAAGATAAATTTTCTATTTTGTACTGTTTTCTCCCGTGTGGCTAAGCAGCTAAAATGGCAACCGTATCTGTGACTACATGTAGAAGATGAAAAGAGAGAAAGTTTACGAGATACTGATTATAAAGAAAGGTAGGCGTAGGTACCAGTAGATACAGCAACAAAAAGCGAACAAACACACGCTCCACCCGTTATTGTAAGGTGAGACAGGGTATGCAAGGACAATTGATTAGTAAGTAAACAAGAGAAGTGAAATAAACTCATATGGGTAACACCCATAAAATTATGTTGGTATAAGGTTTCAAAAACGTAACAAAAAAAGTTGACAGCAAGATTATGACCTTCTTCACAGCCGTGTATGAGTTAGACGTTCATACAGATATTTACTGTTTGTTTGAGGGATGAACACAGATAATAGTCTATAATAATACTTTTCTTTTACGAAAAACATCCAACAGAGCAGCCAGCTTCGTTCGTGTTGACAGAATGCCGCAAGTATTCTGTGCTACGTTTGAATTCTCCGGATTACAGAGAGTTAAAAATGCGAGTGATTTAGGTGTTTTTTTATATTCTTTTCACTTCTAACTTATTGCTGGGCATCTCAGGTATACAAATGGAGACCGTGGCGTTCATATATAATTTATTCACTGTGTTATACATCGTTAAAATGACCGTGGCCTTTATGCCAAACTTCAGCGTGGAGAAGTCGAATGATCTTCGGGACGCCAGAACCCATGCCAATATAACCAAAGAAGCAGCTCTGCAAACACTGGCTGAGTATCTATTTGACCACAGACAAGCAACGAAAGCAGACGATAGCGCGCAGTCAGTGTCGTCTGCTTCTGAACTATACAAATGGCATTTTGGAGATCAAAATGTTACCACCAAAATGTTCACCGTGGCAATGTTACAGATAGAGGATGGATCTGCCTCTATGGATCTCAGCAATGCTTTTAAGGACTTATCGTCTGCTCATTTTGATTCTGAAAGGATTTCGGAGAGCCAAAATAGACTGGTTGCCGAGAGGATAAAGGTGGCTCTTCTACTGATGAACGGGGATATTGAGGGAGCACGAATGGCAGCCGGTGGTTTTTTACACTCTTTACAAGATTTTTACAGTCACTCAAACTGGGTCGAAATAGGGCATCAGTCCCAAAACTTAAATCTAGGTAAATGAATATTGATGTTGTTTCCTTTATCTTGAATAGGAAAGGTAAAATGACTTCCAGGGCCAAAAAGGATGGTTTTGAAAAACATCTAAATAGGCCTATCTGTGACCTTTATTGAAACTTTCAACATTGTCCGATTGTGGGAATACCAGATTTTTTTTTCATTATGAGATGCAATAAGAAAACGCTCTTGCAGCAAATAATTGCAGAAAAAAATGTACATTTTCTCAAGATGTGTTTTATTCAAGGTGAGTCCGAGCGATCTCTGGGAAACACGGCCCATCCAAGTGCTCAAACCTGTGCAAACTGTGACTCGGAGAGTTGCAATGGCAACATACTAAGCAACATACAGGACGCTAGACTACTGACCAGTGGGTATGTGGCCGGACAGAAGGACAGTAACGGAAATCTGGTGACAAAACGTGTCGGTAAGTGATTCAATTGCAATGTACCTATTGCATGTTTATCTTGACACTTTAATATTTTCCTTTATTTCATTAAACTTGTGCCATTTAACGCGTCTTTTCCGTCGTAGGGAAATGCAGTCACGGTGGAGTCATGGATTCCTCGGCCACTAAGTCCGCTACAGGGGGAATCAACAAAGATACTCCAAACGCCAAGTTATCACCTCATCATTACCTTCATCAAACGGTAAGAGCATAAGACAGAAAATAAGTGGATAAAAATGAAATTGTTTTTAAAGGCGAAATTCAGAAAATGGCAGCATGTTTAATGTTTGTAAAAATAGGTAGGCTAATAATATTTTATTTTTTTAATGATATATCAAGTGGCAAGGTCGCCTTAATACATGTGGTGTAAAACATTTTATATTTATTATTCAAAATACTTGAAAACATTATGGTACCTATTCCTCTGAATGAGCAACCAATACTGTATCTCACTTCAGGCAGCAGATTTAGCAAAAGCAGCGACTATTTCATATCTACGGAAGCTCCGCCAGTGTCCGGGAGATGTCGCTGTCAGAGAGTTTCTAGGGGCATCTCAAGGCGGCAGTTTATGCATGGTTTTGGACACAACTGTTAGCATGGCGGACGTCATTGTCGAGATAGAGAATGCCGTGTCAAGGATTGCAGAGACCAGGAATAACTCTGACTGGATGAAATATATCTTAGTACCATTTAATGATCCAGGTGAATTCATTTTTTTTTTCATTTTTTTCTACAAATTTAATGTTCTATTAATTTTTTTATCAATTTAATATTTATTAATTTATTTGTTTGTTTGTTTGTTTAGTGTTTATATTTGTGTATATGTTTATGCATTGGCATAGGAGGTGGGAGCAAGGGGGAATAGCCCAACCACTTTTTCAAACACTTCAATCATAAGCGCAGGAAGCAGGGCCCAAGGGTGCCCACTCTCCCGTCGCAATTTTTCTCCCGATGGCTAGACCCTTTTTAAAGTTTGCATCCTACACACATATTGTGTGTGTGCGCGCGTGTGAGGTCGAGTATTAACTGATCGTACTATATGTCCGCTTTGTAAAGCTAGTCCAAAGAAAAGTGCATGTAAATGTACAGAGTCAATTTAGACGCATCAGCAAGAATACATTTTCGTGTAACTGAATGTTCAGATGCTTGGTAAAATTAATTCTTTTTGCCCGGTATTCGAAATGTAGTTTCAAAGGTGGACACAAAAGAGAGGCCCCGTCTCTACCACGAGGCTTGGAAAGACAGATACTGCAAAAAAGTTGTGTCTGTTCTGTTGTTCACATTTTGCCTGACAGTGAGAGTGATGATTTGTAACAATTTCATTTCGCATCAACAAAGTGAATAAGCAATTGCGCCTTACATAAATCTTACAGCTGAGCATATCATACGTGTACAGGGGTCTAACAAGCTAATATTGCATTGGCATTGTAAGCGAAAGAGGAGCGTAATCAATTTGAGACTATAGGCCTACTTTCCCATTTTGGCTAAATCGAAATAAATGCATACAATATTTCTAATCTAGGATATGGTCCAGTATATACCACCTATAATTCCACGGCCTATGCAGAAAAGCTACGCAGTATACATGCAAAGGGAGGCGGAGACACAGATGAGCAATCGATGAATGGGCTGCGTCTGGCCTTACATGCCATCCCCCACGGGACGCCAATCTTCGTCTTCACGGATGCTCTGTCGAAGGATTCTGAAGTCGCTTCGGACGTGCACGCACTGATTGCGCATAAGAACTCGCCGGTAATACTATATGTTGTACAACATTAAAATAAATAATGGATATTCATTGCAACTTATGTGCTAGCATTTACTGGTTAAAAACTACAGCTCGGCAGGTATATATGTATATACATGTATATACAATACGATAACACTACACTACAATACCCAGTGAATGCAGTAACTTTAAGACTGCAATATAATCGTGTGAATAATGATCCTTAGGTAAATGTGGAAAGCGAAATGATAGTGGACTTACTTGTACTGTACATACGATCTCCTTAAGTTTTTTTTTTTTTTTTTTTTTTTTTTATAACGAACTCAAGTAGTGGGTCCTACTTCCTTTGGAACTGAAATCATGCATCTCGTTTTTTATTGCTTCTACTGTACATCAATCCGTTGGTTTATCATTTGCCCGGATCTATAGTATCATTTCTCAGAGACGATTAATTTTCAATAATTCTAACTCTTTGGATAATTTCTACGACACGTTAAGAGCAGGGGCTAACATTTGTATTATTTTTACTCTTTTGTATTATTTGTACGACACGTCAAAAACGTACCAGGTTCTTGTTTATTAAGGACAAAGCACTGGTAATATCCGATCACTTTCTTTCAGAAAAAAAAAATGTGTCGTTAAAGTGGTTTGGTATTAAAATACTAATACGCCCACACCTTACTCTTTGACATCGGAAGCTATGACTCACTGATAGTGGATAATTAGGTGCATATGAGTGTCTACCTTCATAGTTCCTCGAGGCCATATTTGCACTTGAGTTACTCTGAATGAAGAGGTTAAAACGTAAAAAAATGCTTTTGTCATATAGAAATACAGGGCCCCGTAACTCGAAAGCATCGCGCGTTGCGACCGAGAGCAAGCGTCTAAGATTCCATAACTCGCCCATACTCGTCCCATAATACATTGTAGCCTCTATGCGATATTGCTATTCGCAACGCGCGATGCTTTCGAGTTACGGACCCAGGTGACGCACCCGTGATATTGTTTTGAGCTTAATTACCATCTCTAGACAGGTGAAATCAACTTGCCAACGCCTTGCCTATTGCATGAATGACTAAGCTCCAAAATTATTATTATGATTTTTATTATTATCAATTATTTCTAGGTGTATTTTATTCTGAATGACCAGTTTGGTGGTAACCCAAACCCCAGCAAGTACCAGAGCGGAGAAAACGGGCCTCTTCACTCTTATGACACCATTGCTCTGCACTCAGGCGGCCAAATCATGAGACCGAAAACTAAAACAGAGTTCACAGATTCCATTAACATTATTGCTCATTTGATAAGCCCAGACCTGGTGAGACATAACTTTCTTGGTATGGAAAGTGTATATGTTAGCCTAAATTAAAAGAAAAGGTTTTAGGTTAGCTAAGGGGACTCCGTGTTACAAAAAGATGGTCACGACGTTTGCCACTTTAGAGATTAGTAAAATGCAATATGGTTTTTAATTTAATCGAATTGTATGATTGCCTATCTGTTATGCAATTTTCTAATTCTACTCACCCGTCAGTAATGCCACAAGTGCTGTATTCCAGGTTACTCTGATGATTCGCTACAATCACCCTGGATCTGGCACCTTCGATTTTTCTGTAGATAAAACTATCTACGCAGTGTTTGTTCTGGTAGTCTGTTCTCCTCAGGTGAAAGATAACGTCCAGATACTTGACCCAACAGGTAAAACGACGAAAACTATAATATTTGGTTCAAAAATGTTTCATTCATAAGTGAAGGATTGATAACAAGAATTTTGGCAATATTGTACACGTATGTGTGTCATAATGATGAGTTTTTAATAAATTAATTGCAAAGTTCGTTAACCTTTTATGTTAGGTAGGACCACAGATGGGTCTATTTTTCTTCTAAAGGAAAAGAAACAGGGATAAGAAAGAGACAAGTTTTTCTTGGCCGACAAAAAATAAATAAATAAATAATTATTATTATAATAATGAAATTATGGTTCTCTCGAATGTGTTTTTTCTTGAATTACTGGCATTTAATTTATAGAACTCCGAAGTATCACAATGGACAGTCAAAATAAATCAATACAAAAAGTAAAGTAATTACCTTTTTAAAATATTAAAAAAAATACTTCTTAATTTCCCCAGGTATCAACGTAGCTCCGTCTGCCGACCATGTTGTCTCAACGACCAGCATTAAACTGTTTAAATTAAACAGCATTTCGAGGGGGTGGTGGAAGGTCTTTATAGATTGTGATGGCTCCCCAGAGTGTTCCTGCAATGTCCACGTGCTCGCTAGAAGCACTCTGGATATCGTGACCTCGTTTGCTAGAGAAATGAACGTCCTCCACCGAGGATTAAAGAAAGTACCGGCCCGACCAACAAAAGGTAAGGACAACATCAGTTTGGAGCAATTGTTTAGGAGTACTAGCTACGCAAGACGCCGTTTGCTGCTGAAAAATAAGAAAAAAATGCCGGAATCGGAAACATTTAAAAGAAAATTTTGTGAGATATTGCCATAAATCCGCCTATTCTTTTTTTTTTTAGCAACCCTTAGAAATAATTGAAAACACGATGCATAATGCACAATCTCTCCCCCTGCTTCAGATTTCGCATTAATATGAAAAAAGAAATTTTAAAGAAAGAGTGTTGCCATTTGCTCAGCCCCCACTTTAAAAAAAATTCTTTCAGATAACATGTCTTATGTTCGCCTCCATGTGGTTGGTGCAGATGGTTTCCAGAGTCCTCTGCAGTCAAATCAAATCTTAGCAAGCGGTTACAGTTCAAAGGGATCAGCTACACTGTTTTCACATGCTCTGAATGAACTTGTTCCAAAGGAAGAGTATTATTTTTCAGCCAACTTTCAAAACATTTCACAAGGTAAATATTTAAGACATCAACAACACTGTTTATTTTTCTGACAATTTTTAAAAATCTATATGTATTTTGTATTTTTTATTGGCAGTTATTATTGCGTACATGTATTATATAACTTTTTTTTTTCATTTTTGCTTTAGTAAGCACGTTTTATCCCAAATCGTATAACATTTCTGAAATAGAACGTAAATGACGGTCAGTTTTGCCCTTTTCACCAAAAACAATAGGGTTTCGCATCGGAATGGAAGCGAAGGATACAGATGGACAACAAATTGATAGAATAGTAACCCAACTGATTTTCCCAGTCGAGTCAGAAATCCTACTGGACTACTCCACGCCCCGCACCTGGCAAATGCCAACCGGAGGAACCGATCGCGTCACAGTCAAGGTATCTAACCTTGGGACTTTGGGAGCCGACATGACCCTTTTGCGTCAGATTCGGGTGGCCTTGTGAGCATGATACTGCCCTCTGACAGGTTAGTAAGTTACCCCTAATAACATATCAGACCTGCTGCAAAATTTGCAGCGAAATTGCCGCAAATTTGCTGCAAACTGCAGTTCCTTCTTGCAAATTTGCAGCTAAGCAGCAATAAAATTTTTCTTGCAAACTCCTGCAGACTCGTTGCCGCAAACTTTTAGTTGGCAGCAATATTGCTGCAATATTGTTGCACAGATTGCATTTTGCTTATGGTTGAAAATCCACTTTCTTTTCATTGTGTTTCTTTCGTGATTTTTTAATCTGTGACTTTGGTATATGTAAGGGCTTGGAATCTCAAAGAAAAGTTGCCTTGAGTGTTGTTTTACGAGCTTTTCACCCTTAAATTACATCAGGATAAATGGGAATACAGAAGGTGTAGAAGGTGAATTGTCTGAAAAGCCCCCCCCCCCACCCTGAGCTTCAGAGCTAACTTGACACTAACCTTTTCACTGTAGCCTATCTCCATCGTGTCAAGTAACCTCTGACCAGATTCGATTGCCTCCGCCGCCCGCCAATCAAATTTAAAAGCCCGCACTCAATGACTCATTAAACGATCTAGCCAATGAACGCGAACGAGTCAAAGCGCGCTTTGTTCAAATCCGGACCAATCAAAGATAAGGCTGAATATCAGGGACTTGCCGTAACCTGTGGGCAGCACGCAAATAACATCGTCTCTCAGTAGATAATGATGCAGGGCCTTAAACTGCTAGACCCTATGGTTTCAATTCCGATTTACTCATATTTTGCAAAGAATCAAGAGATAACTTAACACATTCTTTTTCGTAGTCACTCGCCTTGCTTTCTTTGTGTACGGTAATACACTCGGAACTACTCGGATGTCTCCGCACTCGACAATAACTTTGTTGTTAGTATGGAGCTTGCGGAATCAGCCGAGGATTGCCGATTGACGGTCAACCAATCAGCGTTTTCACCAAACTTTGGTGAAAAATTTTGAAACATGGATTTGATTGGCTTATATAAACTAGGTCAAACTATTTTCGTCAGAGGTTACTTGACACGATGGAGATAGGCTACAGTGAAAAGGTTAGTGTCAAGTTAACTCTGAAGCTCAGGGTGCCCCCCCTCTACTCAAATGTCAACTTCACGATAGGCCTACACTTGTATTCAAAACACTCCAAAAAGTTGTGAATTATTTAATCGTATATGCAACTCCACATGAGGAGCCCTCCTACAATTACACGCAAATGAGGCTTAGGAAAAAATTCACACAAGAATTCATCATCTTTGATATGAAATGTTAGTTTTCTTCATTGTAATGTTCTTTGTAACAGTTAACCGGTTGACTAACTGCAGAAAGATGTAGTCGGGACATCAGTCAGTAATTTCTTGTTAGAACAAACAATAATCCTCAAATGATATTTTTTAAGGTTCACCATTGCGGCCGGAGAAACGAAGACGAGGTTTGTCACACTAATCGCACCTACTGCAACCACGCGCGGTCTTTCCAGCACAGTAATTGTGTCGGCACACTCAAACAGAAGCATGTTTGAGAGTTACGATATAATACAACTTAACGTTGCGCCGAAGGTAAGATAATGAATGTGGGATAAACTTAAAAAGTTACTGAGAATGAAAATAAATTGTTCCAAGTAAGCATATTCCTGTCTATTACAGTTAAGCAATTTTATCAATTGTTTGTTTTTAGTTGTATTTTAAAAGGCATCGGTTGAAAAATTACAAAATTTTCCGGAAACCAAAAGAAGACATAATGTGTGGCATTAGTGCATTATATTAAAAAATAAAGATTTGGATGATGCCAATTCTGTATACTACCCTTCTACAAGTGAATAAAGAAAAATAAGATTAAATCAAATACACGCAGAAGAGCTTTCGGTTCCTCAGACTTAAAAGAATGATTTTAAAAGTGAATGTACTCGTGATCCCGAACATAAGTTCTATGCATCACCTCTTTAATTAATGATATGTTTTGCCTAACACGTAGTTCTAAGATTGGATTGTTCCATTAGAACACACACATATTGCCATAGAGTATGCATGTAATCACAGCATTATGTTTCTTCCAGTCATTTGATTACGTCAGTCCAACCTGTGCAATAGTGAGCCGCAGCGGTGACTGTTCCTCAACTTTCCACGGTTCAAAACCGTGCTTCGAAGACTTCTGGTCGATTGAAATCGTTGCAGCTGATCAAGGAGTCGGGCTTTATTCGGTACATGAATTAAAGAATGGGGCGAACGCCACGCTGATTGTCCAGTCTTTCGCCGAAGGTCTCACCAACCAAAACGTCACCGCTACTTACACTTCCGACTGCTGCACGCTTTCGGCTGACATCGTCGCTTGTGATGCATTCGGCAATATTGGCCTTTGCTCAGAAGTTGTTGTGAATAAAATCAATACATCAGAGCCGACGGGGTTGAGTTCTGGTTTTCTTACAGCAGTGATTCTTGCATCTGTGGCGGCAGGATTGCTTTTAGTTGCTCTGTGCTGCTGTATCTGTTGCTGGTGTTGCATACCGGCGTGGAGGAGGAGGAGAAAGAGAAAGGGAAGTCTGAGTAGCACCTCTTTAAACTCGTCCCAACCTGGATGGATACCACACGGATACAGGTCTCAAGCATATCCGCTGGCCTTTTATTTGTACGCTGAAGACTGAGTTGCATACATATCTATTTCAAAGTGATTACTTACTTCTAAGTAAAAATACATGTGTGTTACTATCGACCTTACTTCATCTCTACTGCTGAACACGCGCACACGCGCTCCCACACGTACCCAAGATCATTAAAAATGTATAATGGCTTTAATCAGTGACAATTTCAGAAGTAGAAAGGCTGGGAATAATGAAGTAAATCTGAGATAAACATACTACATGTATATCCTCTGGCCGGTCCAGGATTTTGCTACAGTAGGACCTACATGTAGGTGCACACAAGAATAAACAATGCACGTTAAACAAAATACCAGACATTGCAATAACAATTCTATTATAAGATGTAGGAAACGGGGTGAAAATGTTGTACCTGTCTCATATAACGAGTTAAGCTGTCTTTTGGGAGATTGGGGGCGAAGAGGTCACTTCCAACACTAGGGGTAGGTGCATGTGACACACTGCGCCCTCCTTTGATACACGCACTAGTATACCGGTAGAGCATTGTATTGGAGTCGGGCATTGTATTGTATCTTTCCTTCTGAGACATGAGACTATGCTTATTGTATTTCATAGTATCATTGTGCAGTTAAATACAAGTGTATGTTTATAGAATACTTTTACTACCAAACCAATATTTTGCCTTGTATCAGTTTAAAATTGATATTTGTGCCATTTTAAACAAATATTCAGTGTCCATCATAGGTCTACACCACGCTATTAAATTTATATTAGGCCTACAAGTAACTGAAAATAAAATATCAGTTTGGACGCGAAAAAAAAATGGCGGATTATTCTGACGTCATGATGGATATTTTCACGAACCAACTGCTATGACACTACCGAGTTCCAAACTAGAAATATAATTGCCACGATGTATATGTGNTCGTCGCTTGTGATGCATTCGGCAATATTGGCCTTTGCTCAGAAGTTGTTGTGAATAAAATCAATACATCAGAGCCGACGGGGTTGAGTTCTGGTTTTCTTACAGCAGTGATTCTTGCATCTGTGGCGGCAGGATTGCTTTTAGTTGCTCTGTGCTGCTGTATCTGTTGCTGGTGTTGCATACCGGCGTGGAGGAGGAGGAGAAAGAGAAAGGGAAGTCTGAGTAGCACCTCTTTAAACTCGTCCCAACCTGGATGGATACCACACGGATACAGGTCTCAAGCATATCCGCTGGCCTTTTATTTGTACGCTGAAGACTGAGTTGCATACATATCTATTTCAAAGTGATTACTTACTTCTAAGTAAAAATACATGTGTGTTACTATCGACCTTACTTCATCTCTACTGCTGAACACGCGCACACGCGCTCCCACACGTACCCAAGATCATTAAAAATGTATAATGGCTTTAATCAGTGACAATTTCAGAAGTAGAAAGGCTGGGAATAATGAAGTAAATCTGAGATAAACATACTACATGTATATCCTCTGGCCGGTCCAGGATTTTGCTACAGTAGGACCTACATGTAGGTGCACACAAGAATAAACAATGCACGTTAAACAAAATACCAGACATTGCAATAACAATTCTATTATAAGATGTAGGAAACGGGGTGAAAATGTTGTACCTGTCTCATATAACGAGTTAAGCTGTCTTTTGGGAGATTGGGGGCGAAGAGGTCACTTCCAACACTAGGGGTAGGTGCATGTGACACACTGCGCCCTCCTTTGATACACGCACTAGTATACCGGTAGAGCATTGTATTGGAGTCGGGCATTGTATTGTATCTTTCCTTCTGAGACATGAGACTATGCTTATTGTATTTCATAGTATCATTGTGCAGTTAAATACAAGTGTATGTTTATAGAATACTTTTACTACCAAACCAATATTTTGCCTTGTATCAGTTTAAAATTGATATTTGTGCCATTTTAAACAAATATTCAGTGTCCATCATAGGCCTACACCACGCTATTAAATTTATATTAGGCCTACAAGTAACTGAAAATAAAATATCAGTTTGGACGCGAAAAAAAAAATGGCGGATTATTCTGACGTCATGATGGATATTTTCACGAACCAACTGCTATGACACTACCGAGTTCCAAACTAGAAATATAATTGCCACGATGTATATGTGAATAATTAAAAAAAAACTTTTCGAAAAGTAATAATTGATCTTCTAGACAAAATAACGAACAGACATTAAAAACAGGATTAACGACAAGAAAACCCCTGGACATATAACCTAGGATTCCAGTTTTTATATCACGATACATAGTGCACCACATATATAGGTCAGAAACTCGACATAACCCAACGCCATAGGTGACAAATTAAACGTCACGTTTACTGTTTTTGTAAGGAGATGCATAACTACTATAGTATAGGGTGTTGGTCACAAAAAAAGATAATCTTACACATACTTGCCTAAAACATAAATGTGCACCTAATAGATGTGCCTAAGTTGTTATTTGGATAGGGCCTACAGTTTGCCATGGAAGGGGGGGGCGTTCATGGGAATCTGGCGTGAACAAAAAGAAAATCTCCTCCATCGCCAATCTTGTGGCAGCTACTGAAAAAATTCGAAAATTTCTGCCTCTCAGGGCCCCAAGGTGTGAACATAACATGCATATCACGCATATTCCAGCTCGAGTAGAAAAACAGCATTTGGGCGGGGTCACTACCTTCAATGTAGAAAAATGTAAGGTGACCGTTTGAAAGAAAATGGAAAATTTTGACACCACAAAAATGTCACAAGTGTTCTCTTAAAATAAAGGACTTATAATGCGTTCATTATCTATAACTTTGACATTGTATCGCAGGTTTAACTGTAACTCGGTTCCTAGCTGTGCGTTTTATTGTAGCAACAACACACAGACAACAGGCTGTCGTGCACAAAGGTTAAATATTCAATATTTTGTTGATTGTAGCATGGAGTTGTAACCTTGATTTTAGTAAGTAGTTGTCACTTGGTGATGGTATCAGCTCTATTTTAAGTGGCGTGAATCATGACTTGAATGCAGGCGTGATGACTTTCAATATTTCTGCACCTTTGCCTCCGGTGAATGTGATTTGCATAACTTAACATGTGCGTTAAGAATTGTTAACAGTCGTTTGGAACCCCGATTGACCCAAAATAAAGAGCTTAATGGGCTGTTTTTCGTTATACTCCCGTGGTTATTCATATAAAAGGCCTACGCCGTGGCAAATTGCACAGTTTTAGTCTGGAGTATCACGATGCAGGTCAGGATTGTTGTTGTCGTCTGCTGTGCGCTGGGTGTCACCTTGGCTTACCCCTACGGAGCCCCCGTGGGTTCATGCTTAGCAATGTTTCCCACGGGCCACGGTGTGAACCAGCAGACCAGCGCCCCGCCTTTTCAAATTCAAGTGAGCCAAGCTACATACAATCCAAACGATGTTATTAACGGTAGGAGAACATTTTTCACTTCCTTTTTAACTTAAATTTCAGAGAAGTTTGATCAATTAAGTTTGTGTTTTTATTAATGCATTTTAAAAAGAAACCGTGATTGGCAATTTAAGACCTTTCTACATGTACAGTAATGCATTTAGTTAATGTGTTTTCAGCGCTAAATCATTTATTTTATTTAACTACCAGTAATATATCATTTTCTGTTCTTATTTGTGGTGTGAAACTTTCACGTTGCAATTTAACTGTTCCAGCTTAGAGCAATTTTTGATGATTTCAGTGACATTGCACACATTGGCATCGGACTTGTACAAATACTGGGAAGGAGTGCTCCTCCAGGCGAGGAGAGTGGCCGGGAATATGGACGAGCCGATCGGTACCTGGACCATAATGGCAAATGACACTAACGATCTAAAAACCTTGAACTGTAGTGGAATTAATAACGTAAGTATCCTGAATAACAATTGAATATTTCAAATAATAATAAGCCGTGCAAAATAAAACCTGAACCCCCTGTTCTAGGCAGGGGTCTCAGTGGAGAATATACATCTTTAAGACTTGGGTCGAGGGAAATAAAGGCAACAAGCTTACAAGGTGCCTTCTGAAAAGTTCTCACGGTTTTTGCAAATTAATTTCTTGTAAACGGCGGTGGGACGTCTGCTCGAGGTTCGCCTGAACCGACATGGATCACGAATAAAAAGATTCTGCCAGGTTTAATCCGAAATTTATTGTGCGGAAGTCAAAATATACATGTAAAGGTCCTATGTAATACTTCAAAAATGTTATCAGCATTATTGGATATGCAAATATTAAATCTATTAAATCATATTTTTTTGGCCAGCTCTCACAAAATCATGTAACTAAAGAAAGGGCTGCAATATGTACCCTAACGTAGAGGTTATGTTCAAGGGAGACAAACTAGGAGTGCACTACCCTCTGATATCACAGGGTCTAAAATAGCATACAAAATTAAAGACAATAATTCTGTAACCGACTACTACCAGACCTGTGGTCAGAGAGTACGTGTGATGCTGTGTATATATATATATATATATATATATATATATATATATGTCAAAGGCCCGGACCAAATCTAGTCCCATGCATAAAAAGCCCAGACCCTATGTTTATTACGCCCTGGCTGGGCCCATGCTTTATGGTGTCTTTGCATTGTTAACAGCATAATGGGCAAGTTAAATGACCAAGTTAATTGACCAAGTTAATTGGCCAAGCTGCCAGTTTGTTTGTATGACATGTGCAGGATATGTCTTAGATCAAGGCACAAATGAAGCCCACCTTTAATTTAACACTTCTTTCGTAAATGTTACTAAATCAATCTACATGTCTTTTCTTTAAACATAAACATCTTTAAAAGTATCATCCTCTGATGTATTTCACAAATCACAGGTAATGAAATACGAGTATATCTCATTTGCCACACCTGAAAGTATCGTAATATGTGCCTTAATTGATCTAAGACATCCCCTGCACATGCCATACAAACAAACCGGCAGCTTGGCCAATTAACTTGGTCATTTAACTTGCCCATTATGCTGTTAGCAATGCAAAGACACCATAAAGAATGGGCCCAGCCAGGGCGTAATAAACATAGGGTCTGGGCTTTTTATGCATAGGACTAAATTTGATCCGGGCCTTTGACATATATATATATATATATATATATATATATATATAAGACACGCTCTGATGCCAATATCCAGCGAAAACAGAAGTTCATGTGAACGCAAATTAATGCCTTGTGAGTGTACATGTAGTTTGTAAGATATGCCACATTTCTTTCCACAATACTTTCTAGAGAAATCAGCATACTAATGTGACAGTATACGAGATTTTTATCCTCTCAGTTTCTTTTAATACTATTCTTTGTTGCTGTAGTTAACGTTCGAAATACATAATAATATCTTTAACTTGCATGTCAGACTGCACTTTGTGCATCTTGCTGTTCCTTAATGATAGAATCAGGCAGATTTCACCTAAATTCAGTGTACGATTGCGCACCGAGAAGCTATTAGCTGAAGACTATTTTTATATATTGTATGTAGGAAATGAAGATGTTTTATTCAGCAATTCAAGTATCTTGTGTTTCTTTTTATTATTTGGTACAGTGAGGACTCTTTAAGTTCAAAAATGTCAAAACGGATGACCTGTAAAAATATATTAATCACAGCCATATTCAAAACAACCACTTGACATTAAATATGTTTCTAAATTTCGCTTTTCTCCACAATCCTCTAGTGAATTTACCCTAACATTTTATAAAAACCTACCCCAAAACTCACTACCTTGACCAGCGATGTTTAAGCACCCATATCTAGCACTTTGCAAGTTTGATAGTAATAAAATTGCCTTAGAATATGAAGCTGATGCTAATCATGCCGCATTAAGTTTTAAAAAGTCAATCAACGAATATATACCAAGAAAATACATCCAACTTACGCATTTTGCAAAAAATCTAATGACTCAGTTTCAAGCTGTGATGCACATACATGTATTGTGATAAAGACGTAGTAAAATGACAGCATAGAGACATTTATAAATCTGACCAAAACGTTGGTGCATATAGGCTATTCACTCTGATAACAGCAATCAAATTTCATTACCTTGGCAGGAGCTCACCCGGAGTGTTTAATTCAGTTTAAATTAGAAAAGATAGCATGCTGTAGCATTGAGCATAAACAATTAGGCCTTTGGAGGTGGATAGGGATTCAGCAGGAAATATGCCATATAAAACATATTTTTCTGAAGGACAAGTTAAATTCAATCCACACGAAGTAGCCTACTACAAACAAATGTGATGTATAGGCCTACATGTATTTTACTCTTTGTATTATTTATCGAAAATTTTGTATTACAGACAAGATACGAAGTTCAGGCGAGGCATTGTTGTTGTTACATGTATTATTATCCGTCCATATATATATATATATATATATATATATAAACTTCTATTTGAAGTCAAAATAAAAACTTCTATTTGAAGTCAAGTTATATTCCTTAAATTTTCCAAATTTAAATCTGTACTGTAGGCTGTAAGAGTCTCTTAAAGGCCTACATTTACTTTGTTTCGTTAAGGTTCAACTCTTTCCAAAGAATATATATATATATAACGTTGCTACAATGTATAACCTTTTTGTGCCTTTTTGTGGTTAACCTGTGCACCTATTACACAGAAAATATATAGAGAATTCTGCTATAACCTTTTTGCACCTTTTCGTAATTGACCCCTTTTTTTTTGGCCATTCACACGACGTGAAAGGATTTAGTGAGTCAGTGGCAAAGAAAAGGGTGTGTCTGTCCTGCTGTTAACTTCTTTCAGGTAACTCGATCCCCACATGTCAATATTGCATTCGGGCAATCAGGCACACAAGTCAATATGCAGAATTACAATTACTACCCGGGTCATTGGGCTTCTCCATGTAGGCCTATGTGTACCTGACATGCATAAACATGCATATCCTTACGAAGAAAGGGGAAAATGTTTGTTTTCGTTCCGGGGCTATTCAATATAGAACAGGTCACCTGCCGTGACAATATCTTTACAAATCTAAGCTGAGCTTTTTTCCACACTTTAGTCTCCTTGACCCTGGCCAACACGTTCACTCCATAGGAATGTTTTGAAGACCTTGATGACGTTTTTATAGGATTGATTAGGCATGTCAGATCAAAATGATGGTCTAAACTTTCCACTGTCAATGAGATTCTGTAAGAAGTACTTGATAGAGATAAAACCATGATAAAAAAACAAGACAGTACACTCTTGGCCATTCTGTTAAGGCATTATCCTTATAATTATTATTACAGAGTGCTGTGACCCACAATGTTGAAAAGCATTACGTTACCAAGGTCGTCCAATGGACAGCACCACCCCAGGCTCAAGGACACGTGAAATTCCGGTGAGTTATGATAATAAAGATTAACTAAAATGCTAGGCACGTGTGCTCATGTACTACATGTAGAAGTTATATATGCAGACCACCAGATAACTCACCAACTGGTACGTATATTATTTAACTACGTCTCGTGAAAAAAAAAACCATCAGATCTCAGTAAACTCTTTTTTTGTGGAATGGATATATAAGTTTTAGTAATCTATTTGTTTAATCATATTTTGTTTGTGTGCCCACTAGTACAATGTGTGGTCCCTTGTTTTATAAATCACCAAAAGTACAGTAGGCATATAAATTGACCAAACGTGTACATTATTTCTGATCTTCAAAATGATTAAACGAGGAATCATTTTCACGACCTTGTTTTTTTTCAGGGCAACATTTGTGAAAAACAAGGTTACTTTCTGGGTCAATGTCATGTCCGCCACTGTACAGGATCCAACTGCAGAACCGATCACAGACAATGGTAAAAATGGCGCCAGCAGCACCAGGGTTATTTACGGCGATGTTTTTGTACTTGCAACTCTCTGCACATTACTGAAAAGAATGCTGTAAAAGATGAGATGTTTTTTAACATGCTTATGTTTTTTAACATGCTTATGTTACTTTGATCATGTATTTTTCACCAGGATAAAAGATTAATTTGTTTATCTTCCTCTATAAATATGTTTCATTGCTGGCTTACAGATGAGCTTACATGTGCACTCGTACCAAATCTGGTATGCAAGGCCCCTACTAAAAAAATTGAAACATATTTCTATAGGTATATCTGTAACATCTTTTTTGCTCGCGTTAGACCACTGATCTGATGTGCGTGTGCTGGCACCTAGCATACCAGTAAGTTGGTTCAAATATTTAAGATAAAAATATGAATTTTTTTAATTAAGCTTCTATTAGATACTGTAACCCTGTTGAGATGTTGAGAATTAGTATTTTTGTGGAATTTGATAATATAGTGCACTCAATTTAATGGTAGACTTAATCAGATTACAAGTGTACATGCTTTTTTTGTTTGTAAGGCAATACCCTGTAGTACACAGAGTACAAAATATAATTCAGTTTAGAAATAAAAAATTGATATGATCATGTCTTAATTCTCAAAACTGAGGAGAATCCCCAATTCCTGTAGCCCCGTTGACTTTTAATGGACATTGACTTTTCATTGCCTTTTAATGCATCTTCTATTATTATGTGTGGCTTGATTGCAACGAAAAGCCTGAATGTTGCCACGTGTTGTTTTCAGTTACAAAACACCCTCCATCTAGGTAACAATAACGACAAGTATCTCTGTGCCTTACAGGTGCCCCAGGCTTGTGCCCCAGGCTTGCGAACAGCAATAAACCGCTTGATACAGTTTTAAAAGTTATTTTCTCACAAAGGAACATCATTTTCACATCAGCAAAAAATACATATAAAGTTTTAATAAATTCATGAGGGTGGCAACCACATTTGTTCATTTTTTGTGAAAATGGTTTGCATAGCCTGAGCACTGATACCATTGACAAAATAAATCCGAAATTATGATTGAAAACTGTAATACAGTATGAATTGGATAGACCTTGTTTAAAACACTTTAACCTCACTTATTTCAACAAAGAATACAAATTGATTTAATAAAATCTTTTAATTATGAGATCATACACAAAAATAAACATACTAGAAAAACAAGTTGGACTTACGATTTGCAATAACTAATAAAAGTGCAGTAAAGATAAGGTCTGATATAGAAATTAAGCAATCTCTCAGCGGAGGAAAGACATATCTTTACAATTATCTTAGAATGGATTGAGCCAAATACTCAAAAACGGAAAATTGTCATTTGAAGACCAAAGTATGATATTTGCTCATGTAAACTTAAATGGCTGTGAACGGTCACCTCTATCACAATGAAAGTGGGAATTTTCATTCTGTTTAATTCTAAAGAATTCCCAACAAAATAATGCTCTTCTTATTATCACAAATACACTGGTATATCTCAGACCTAAGCCTGTGTATCATAAACATCTCAACAACTTTTTGCAGATAAAACACTTAATCAACGGAGGTCTCTTGAAAATTGAATTTAAAATCTCAGAATTCTGTGATGCTTTGGAAAAAGCTCTCGTCTGATAGATATATTTTATAGCATTTTGGAGGACAGGGGTGTAGGTATGGTACTCAGAATAGCTGGTAACTGTGTCCGTACGGAAATTTTTTCACACCACCAGCAGCCTTGGGAGCCCGTTTCTTTTATGGGGCTATGATTTACATGTATTTTGCTTTGCACGTACAATTTCACTCCTAGAGGCCTGATACAGGAAAGTTTTGAAGTGTAATGCATGTAAATAAAAAAGCTATTTTCAGTCTTCAAAATTCAATTGCTGTTACTGCCTCTAAAGTAAGGTTGTGGGTGTTGGTCTGTCTTGGATTTTTTTCTTTTCTTTTCTTTTTTTTTTTTTTTTTTGCTGCTTTTACAATGTACCATCTGCTGGCCACCCCTCCCAGTTTGTCAATTTTTTTATGATTTCATTATTCAGCCTTTACGAACCTCCCATGCTTGTAAAAATCAAGGGTACATATAGTACCTATACCTGGTTAAATTTATATACTATTTATACACAATTAATATTGTAGCAGACTACTAGCTGTGAGGGTGAGCTTGTTTATTTATTTATTACTTCTTCTTCTTATTATTATTATTTTGAAAAGGATGCATGCATATCTGTTTTCTGGTGTTAACAAGCTTTTTTATCATCCATAGCAAGCACCATAGCTCAAAATCTTTAAGCACCCATGGATGTACCGGTACTAGTAAGGCTGGTTTCTATATATATTTAGTGTTTTTGCATGATGTTCAAATCATATGCAAGTTGAGATGGTCTTGTATCTTGGATTATAGGAAGTTTATTCAAAGCATGCACTGGGAATATAAATGCAAGAAATAACAACATGATGATTACTGACACATAAGGTAATGTTCAGGCAAACATTCTCACCTTTGATTTTGGCCTTGTTATCCTGTCTTTCAAAAATGATGACAGTAAGCAAAGAGTCTTGACTGACAGCTAGCTATTTCCTAGCTTCTACCACAACCCAGCATGCCAGACAGTCAAAGACCTACTCCAAGTCTCCTGTAATCCAGTTTTTTAATTGCCCTTTTGTGTGCCTTCATTTGTGATGGACATACCAGAAAAAATGGGAATACATGTAGGTAACTCAATAATGTAACACTGACATCTTGTCAACACTTACATGAGGAAAAAAATAACATTCTTATTTGTAAAACAACATTTGTCAACAATCAAATATACTTACTTCAAAATGTAATTTTTTTCTCTATGACAACATAGTACCTTCGTTTCAAATCTAATTAAATTTGGTTCCATCTAGGCCACTGTCTGAAGAAGAAAATTATCAACCAACATCAATATTAAATTGACATTTGTGCCATATATCCCTCCATGTGAGATTTGTCCTTGTCTTACCACATACTGTACCACAATATCCAAAGAGATTGAAAATACAGATAATGTTGAAACATATATATATTTCACAAAGAAATTTACACTGTCCAATGCAAATAAAGCAAAGAATGTTTAAACTGGATCAAGCCAAAATATCCAGCGGGTGGTGTCCCAGCACCCACACACCGTGCTTTAAAAGACATTGGCTAATATTTCTTTGATAAGCAAACATACTATTTACAATTAAAGAAAAGACAATAACCTGAAAATCCCATTGGGAAAATCAAAAATAAATTTCTCAGCAATAAAAAATACTTACAATCTTCCATAATGTCTTTTCTTTTTTCTCCATTACGACATACCTTTTCATCCAATCTAACTCAACTTTTTTCCATCTTCCTTGTTGTCTGAAAAAGAAAATTATCTACCAACATCAATATTAAGGTTCACATTTGTGCCATATATCCCTCCATGTGAGATTTGAACTTGTCTTAACACATACCACAATATCCAAAGAGATTGAAAATACAGGTAATGCTGAAACAGATTTATTTCACAAAGAAACACTGTCCAATGCAAATAAAGCAAAGAATGTTTAAACTGGATAAAGCCAAAATATCCAGCGGGTGGTGTCCCAGCACCCACACACCGTGCTTTAAAACACATTGGCTAAGATTCCTTTGATAAGCAAACATACTATTTGCAATTAAAGAAAAGACAATAACCTGAAAATACTATTGGGAAAATCAAATCTAAATATCTCAGGAATTGAAAAATGCTTACACTCTGCAATAAAGTCTCTTCTTTTTTCTCCATTACATCATACCTTTTAGTCCAATCTAACTCAACTTTTTCCATCTTCCTTGTTGTCTGAAAAAGAAAATTATCTACCAACATCAATATTAAGGTTCACATTTGTGCCATATATCCCTCCATGTGAGATTTGCCCTTGTCTTACTGCATACCACAATATCCAAAGAGATTGAAAATATAGGTAATGCTGAAACAGATATATTTCACAAAGAAACACTGTCCAATGCAAATAAAGCAAAGAATGTTTAAACTGGATCAAGCCAAAATATCCAGCGGGTGGTGTCCCAGCACCCACAGACCGTGCTTTAAAACACACTGGCTAATACTCCTTTGATAAGCAAACATACTTTTTACAATTAAAGAAAAGACAATAACCTGAAAATACCATTGGGAAAATCAAAAATAAATTTCTCAGGAATCAAAAGATACTTACAATCTTCCATTATGTCTATTTTATTTTCTCCATTACAACATATGTTTTTCTCCAAACTAATTTAACCTTTTTCATCTGGGTTGGTGTCTGAAAAAGAAAATTATCTACCAACATCAATATTAAGGTTCACATTTGTGCCATATATCCCTCCATGTGAGATTTGAACTTGTCTTAACACATACCACAATATCCAAAGAGATTGAAAATACAGGTAATGCTGAAACAGATATATTTCACAAAGAAACACTGTCCAATGCAAATAAAGCAAAGAATGTTTAAACTGGATCAAGCCAAAATATCCAGCGGGTGGTGTTCCAGCACCCACACACCGTGCTTTAAAAGACATTGGCTAATATTTCTTTGATAAGCAAACATACTATTTGCAATTACAGAAAAGACAATAACCTGAAAATACTATTGGGAAAACCAGATCTAAATTTCTTAGGAATCGAAAAATACTTACACTCTTCCATAATGTCTCTTCGTTTTTCTCCATTACATCATACCTTTTCGTCCAATCTAACTCAACTTTTTCCATCTTCCTTGTTGTCTGAAAAAGAAAATTATCTACCAACATCAATATTAAATTGGCATTTGTGCCATATATCCCTCCATGTGAGATTTGCCCTTGTCTTACCACATACCACAATATCCAAAGAGATTGAAAATACAGGTAATGCTGAAACATATATATATATATATATTTCACAAAGAAACACTGACCAATGCAAATAAAGCAAAGAATGTTTAAACTGGATCAAGCCAAAATATCCAGCGGGTGGTGTCCCAGCACCCACACACCGTGTTTTAAAACACATTGGCTAATATTTCTTTGATAAGCAAACATACTATTTACAATTAAAAAAAAACAATAACCTGAAAATACTATTGGGAAAACTAGATCTAAATTTCTTAGGAACCGAAAAATACTTACACTCTTCCATAATGTCTGTTTTTTTTTTCTCCATTACAACATACCTTTTTCTCCAAACTAATTCCACTTTTTCCATCTGGGTTAGTGTCTGAAAAAGAAAATTATCTACTAACATCAATATTAAGGTTCACATTTGTACCATATATCCCTCCATGTGAGATTTGTCTTTGACTTACCACATACCACAATATCCAAAGAGATTGAAAATACAGGTAATGCTGAAACATATATATATATTTCACAAAAAAACACTGTCCAATGCAAATAAAGCAAAGAATGTTTAAACTGGATCAAGCCAAAATACCCAGCGGGTGGTGTCCCAGCACCCACAGACCGTGCTTTAAAACACACTGGCTAATATTCCTTTGATAAGGAAACATACTTTTTACAATTAAAGAAAAGACAATAACTTGAAAATACCATTGGGAAAATCTAATCTAAATTTCTCAGGAATCAAAAGATACTTACAATCTTCCATAATGTCTATTTTTTTTCTCCATTACAACATATGTTTTTCTCCAAACTAATTTAACCTTTTTCATCTGGGTTGGTGTCTGAAAAAGAAAATTATCTTCCAACATCAATATTAAATTGACATTTGTGCCATATATCCCCCCATGTGAGATTTGTCTTTGACTTACCACATACCACAATATCCAAAGAGATTGAAAATACAGGTAATGCTGAAACAGATATATTTCACAAAGAAACACTGTCCAATGCAAATAAAGCAAAGAATGTTTAAACTGGATCAAACCAAAATATCTTGCGGGTGGTGTCCCAGCACCCACAGAACGTGCGTTAAAACACATTGGCTAAT